TAACTTAGTAGATGAATGTGATAAATAAATGTAATTATATGAGATAGGAATAAATATTAACAAATATAAATTATTATATACAATAATATTTTTGAAAAATTTATCTTAATAAATGATTAACTGTAAGCATAGCCTTGTTGATGAAATGAGATTTTATTTATTACAATTTAAAATTATTAACAAAATGAATAGAAATTTTATTTAATTATATCCTGATTTTAGGTGTAAAAAAACATTGACAAAATTATTCTTTCCGAAATTAAAAAAAATAAATATATAATTGATGATGTACTCCTTATTATAAAGTATAAATAAAATATAAAGCAATGGAATTTTAATACTTATTAATAGTATTATTTCGTCCTATTCCTCTTTGTCAAAAATGACTTATTCATAAATCATTATTTTTGTATACTATTCTATTTACATAAAAAAAATCCGATAATTTTTAAATAAATTAAATTATAGACAATTTAAGATTATGCTCATATAAAAATAATAGATACCTAATTTTTTTAAATTGCTCTCCTGCAAAATTGCAAAAGGTGGAGATGTAATACATTTAATTCTCAGGCAACGATTTGTGAAATATTAATAAATTTATTAAAAATCACTATTGCATTATAAAATGCTTTGGCAATAATACACTCACTATAATATATTCCCAAAAATATATTCACGATAATGCATTCATCTGTAATACATTCTCTATAATGCATTCGCGATAATAAATTAGCGATAATGTATTTGCAGTAATACAATCGAAGTAATGTATTTGCAAGAATGAATTCCCGGTATAAATTTTGCTGTATTCGGGTATTATTATATAGTGCTAATTGGGAATGAGTGGTAATACTTTTGCGCTAAAGTATTTGTGCCAATATATTCCCTATAATGTATGTGCAAAAATATATTTGTAGTAATGTCTTCGCTAATATATTTTATTTAATGCATTTGCGCTAATACATTCATTGTAATATATCCTAATAATGTGATCGCGGAAATTCATTTGATCCAATGGATTCTCGATAATGTTTTCTCGGTAATATATTTGCAGTAATGCATTCGCTAAAATATCTTTTCGCAATAATACATTCGCGGTAATACATCTGCGATAATACATCTCGTTGAAAAATGTTTCAGGTATTGTCAGTACAATTTGAAATATCATATATAATTGAAATTTAAAAATTTATTTTTCATTTGAACTAGTATTTTGATTGTCTTAAAACTCATTCTCAAAAATATTATTCATAATTTTTTTTTTACGGATATAAAAATTACCTGATGAGAGGAGGAAATAAAAGGAAAAAGGGGTTAGTTTGAAACCAAAAAAATAATATGTGACAAATATAATTACAAGTTTAAGAACCATAATAGCTTTATTTTATTATAGTTGACCTTATCCTTATAATATATATTTGTTTCAAATTAGTTATCGTTTAATAAATTATTAATTTTCTCTTATAAAAATTTACTGCCTATGAACGAACACGTATGCCATTGGAAATAATATAATTTTTGTTAAACTAAACAATTTTAATCATATATAAACACAAACGAAAAAAAAAGTAGAAAACGGTATTTATATCCAGTGGTATCACTACCCTCATCATCTCAGGGGATTCAACCAAACAATTTTTATAGGGTGATTCGCCCCCATAATCTCCCTTTTACGAGCCTTCGGCCCCTTTATCTCCTGTCTTCGAACCTTTTAATATCATTTTATATTCTTGAGATCTGTTACCCTAAAGTTGCATTCAAATTCTCACATTTTTCCATTTATTATGCATATATCATATTGTAAAAAAATATAAATAATGAAAGTAAAAATACTGTAAGCTATGGCAAGTTAATATATTATAACACAAAATATTTGTTCATTGTACATAGTATTTATTATTAGGTAACAACTTTATGTTCTACATAGTATCTTAAGTAATAACTTTATAGATGTAGACATTATATATTATAATATCAAAGTGTATTAATTATTAAAGATTCCTGATGATTAAAATAAATTGGTTTAGAGTAAAACATTATAAATTAATAAATAAAATGTCAATTTTATAATATAGGAATGTATTGAAATGATATAAAATATTATATGTAAAATAAATTATAGACATTAATTTATTTGACAGACAAAATAAGCGCATGTCATTTGTAACTAATAATTTGATTAAGACTCTAAATTTTGGACAATTTAGAGAGTTGTCTAATCTATAAAAAGCCCAAATTAGACAGGTTTAGATATAAATTTAAATATAATTATAAGGAACAATAATTATTTTTTTTCAAGTTCTTTTATGTTTTTTTATTTTCAATCAAAGATATACCTATTATTTTATAAATTAATGTTAATTGTTTTTTATTCTAAATGTTATCTAAGATAAATTCATAAGACAGTACATTCTTAATTCTGTCTATTATTTTGCAATTATGTTAAGATCTAGCAGAAGTTACCACTCATATAGAGTTTATCCAGATTATAATAAACTTTATTTGTGTCTTATTATAACGAGGACAAATATTCTAATGACCGTTGATAATTCAATAAATTATATTTCACAATGCTTTCCCAAAATTTCCCTATTCTCCAAATGTTGGTGAAGCATATTATTATAACAAATATCGCTTATTAATTTATCTTTATATCACCCGATATTCTTTTACACATAAAAATAAAGTAATCAAAAGTATTTCATTTGATGTAATATTTAGAAATTAAATAGTTATTTTAATTTGACTAAATTTCAAAAATTATTTTTATGCTTAAAACAATTGTATAATGACTTCAGATTTATGAGAAAAAAAATTTTTTTCTTTAAAACTTACTACTCCAGTGGTATACGATTTTGCATTGTTGGATGTGAAGGGAGTTAAAGAAAATTACAACTATAAGTTAAATATGGGTTTCAAAAATTATGGGGAAATTTTGGAAAAGTTTTATGCCATTTTGTTTTTCTAATTTATCTGCCATTCGGAGATAGGAGCGTTCTTGGTATTAATTCATCACAATAACATTTTATTCCTTTTCTATAAATCTAGATTAGATAATCAATTCTTTTATAATAACTATAGATTCGGGTAAAATCCAAGTTCGAGACCTTCAGGTCTGGCCAATAGTTTGGTCCGGCCAGTAATTTTTTAATAAACAAGTGCCGGGTATAAATTTTTAAAAAAAATACCCGGGCTGGGCCATATATTTTAAAACCAAATATTTTAAATCGCCATTATTAGCTATAAAAATTAAAAATAAATATAATACATTTAAAAAAAATCTAATCGAGGTTTAAACGTAAAGGACAGCTCTGTCTTGAAAAAATATACTCTTGCATCAAGGCTTAATAAATTTTTTATACTTTAGCTGATTTAAGAGTATTAGAGGCAAATATCATATTTTTCAATAATAAATTTTTTGAAAATCGTACCCCCCCCTCCCCGTCCCTCCATTCACGTTTGCAAGCAATGCATGCCATATTGGTTAGTTATTAGAATTATAAGAATTCTTTTATAGTATTAAGTTCAATATTACAAAACTTTTTTATTTTTTATCAAATTATAGATACATTTTTCTTCGTCTAAAAACCATATAATATGAAATGCAAAATGTATTATGAAAAAATCAATCATTTGTAGATTTTTTGTTTAACCAGGATCCTAATTTACACAGTTCATTTGATTGATCAAAGAGATTAGTGTTGTTCAAAATTTCTAATCAACCAAAAAATATTTCTAAGAAAAAAATCTTGTCAAATTTGATATGTATAGCTATTATTTTTTTTAAATTGGTGAAATCGAGATTTTTAACGTCATTATAATTTTCAAATATATAAAAATTTAAAAATAGGTTAATTTACAAAAAATAAAAGACATTTTGTTTTTAAAAAAATATACCCCTTTTTATAAACTTACAACTTCTATTTATTAAAAAATTTTAAAATATTTATAGTATATTGATGATTAACGTATCTCTTTTTACTTAGTTATACTCCAAATAATAAAAAATAGTCGGTAAATCACAAAAGTGCTAACAAAAATAAGTCATCTATTATTAATAATGTAAAAATTTCACTACTGAGATTTTTATAAAATTATCGAAATCAGAGCATTTTATTTCCCATATCGTTCATTTTAATTTATTTTAATTTCTCCAATTTTAAAATTTTTGCACCGTCTATTAAAATTTATTGGGTACGCCATTACCTTAATGATTTTCCCTTAATATGATTAAAGATTTTCTCAAGATAAATATATAGCTAACTATTGAAATGATTTCACGTTTCCATGAATGAAATAATTCAAATTATTTTAAATTTTCTTCAAGAGAATTTACTTAACAGTATCAGGATTGAATTATAGAATAAATACTTTGAGATCACTATTAGGATATGTAATGTATTTATCAAAATTTCATTCATATATGAGAGATGGGTAAAAAAAGCTAGCCACTTTTTTATTCGGGTTTAACATAAAAATAGAAAACATTTTATAAGTAAAGTTAATCAAATTTTGACGGAAGATCAGCGCCCACATTACTAGAAGCATGACCCCCCTTAAAAACCTATTAGCCGCCCCCCCCTCTTAAAAATTTTGGGCGACTTCAAAGGCGATATATACACAACCATCTTATGTTTTTAAAAGTAAAGATTAAATTATCAATACTATACTATAAAAAATTGTGAATGTAAAAGAAATGTTTTATAGAACATGAATGAATTAAATTAAAACCCTCTCATTTACAGTGAATTTATTATTATAGAATATTTGTTTAGCATGATTGCTGATGTAATGTATTGTCCTCTTAAATTACATTATAAAAGAAAATAGAAAAATATCTATAAATTAGTTTTAATTGAAAAATAATCACTATAATTGTATATGCAATATATAGATTGATTGATTTTTGGCAATATCATTTATTATAAGAGGTATATAGAAGTATTAAAAAATTTTTTATATCAATATATTTTGTCCTATTTAAAAATTTAGAGATAACCTCCAAAAAATTTATCCCACCAAGCCTTTACTCTCAAATGTCTGCCCCCTATCCCCCTTCCAAAAAAAATTGGTAGGAAACTGCACCTAACCCGCGCACCCACCATTCCCTACCCTCATTAAGCGCGGAATCATAAATAATGTAGAAATAAATAGTAATGTTATTATCATAAATACCTTCTAAATACATTTTGAAATATACGTGGACTATCCTTTCAAAAGCAATATTGTATTACTCAATTACAAATAACGCAATATTTCATTATAATATTCACAGTATTGAAGTATTTTTTGACGATTTTGGGGAAATCTGGTCCATAGTTAGATCCGGAGCTTGACTCAAGAAATTTATACAAAAATGTCAGTAATTTAATAATTAAAAAATTTATATTTTTGTAATCTAGAGTAATTCTTTGGAAGAATTTTGGGCTCAGAAAATATGCAAAGTAGGATAGGAATATTGAGGAAAAACAATACAAATTAAAAAAATATTACAACCATCTTTCATGTATAACTTAATATTTCTAAAATTTAATTCAAAATCAGAATTTTTATTGATTAGATAATCTCTATTCACTATGTCAAAAATTTTATATTTTATTCGAAGAGCACAGTATAAAAATAGAGTCCCTGTCATCTAGACGCATCAATCTTGTTAATATAACAAAATCAAATTTATGATTGGGCTAAAATGTTTTTATATACAGGTAATGTTATTAAATTACCACCTGAGAGAATTTGTCATGCTGTAGCTTGGAGTTTTACTGCTAAATATTTTTTAGTTATATATTCAATAAATGAGAAATTTTATATCTCAATTTACACTGATAATGTAAATTATAATTGATTTTGATATATATTATATTGAACAGAGATCATTATTACAAAATAAAGAGCTTAATTCTTCAGAAAATTTAACTATAACAAAATGGTTTAATGACGATTCTATAATAACAGGATGGGACAATGGAGAAATTATTGTGATTTACTTGTTTAATAATGAGATATTGATATATAAATTAAAAGAACATAATTCAATTATTACCTCAATATTTTGTTTTAAGGATTTATTATATAGTGGAGATAATGTAATAATAAAATATATTTTAAATATTCTTCCTTAATATTTATACAGAATGGGAATTTGGTTGAATGGATAAAAAAGGATAAATATAGTTTTAAAAAGAAAATTGATTTAAAGAAAAATATATTAAATATTTTATCATTGGCTGCAAAGTAATATATATATTATGAGGTATATATTTTATAGATTTTGGATAATTAGACAAAATATTTTTAACTTGTATATAATTCTTAAAGGTAATAATATTATGATATAATTAAATTTATATTTTTAATTTAGACTCGATAGTGGTTATTAAAGAACAATTGATAGTTTTTAGTGTACCTTTTAATGGAATCCATAAAACATCAATAAGTTTAAATTCTTATTTATGTCTGGCAACTGATCAAGAATTTGTTTTGTATAATGTTGATCACACAATTTCAAAACTCTTTCATGTAATTTTATATATTTGTTTTTTAACAAAATTTTAGATAATTATTTAATTTCATGCCTTTATTTAAAAAAATATATAAAAGAATAGATTATTTTTATTTTCAAAAGCTATTTAAAATTTATTATATTTCTATTTTAAAGTTTAGTATTAATCAGAGTCCAAGCATTTATAGTCTGATTCCAGTTTGTCTCCAAACAATTGTGATTGTTTCAGGATCTAATTATATTGAGTAACTTTTTATATTTTTTGAATGAATAAATAGACTAACAGCTCTAAAATACTTTTTAAAATTGACAAACTATTGCCATTAAATTACATGTAATATTCTGTTAAAAATACATGTGTTAAATTATGTATTTAATGTATACAATTTTAAAATATAACTAAAATTTTTTCCATATTGTTGAATAAAAGTATTTAAATATATAACTTGCAAATAGTTTCTATAGTATTGAGACCGTAAAATAATTAAATTAAATAGGAATATAATAGGGTTGTCAAAAGTTATGATTTTTTTGAAAAAATCAAATTCAACATTATAATCTAGTTTTTAATTTGAAATGAATTATTTAACATCATTAAAATGTAAATCTGATTTTTGTACCTTTAATCCCAATTATCTCAGGTAACATAATAGTTAATGAGTTAAAATTTTGTTTTTGATACAACTTGAACATATATGGGATAAACCAGTGTCAGGAGGCAAGTCTGCCACTAAACTCATCTTACTTTTAATTAGGGATGTACCGATATTTTTTTATTGGATCGGATCAGGCCGATATTTTGACCATTTTAATATATCTGTTATCAGCCAATATTAAAAAATTTCCGATCCGATAAAAATGGCGGTCCCTATCGATGCAGTCTGATAAATTGGAAATTTCTTTTAAATATTAATTTAATAATATTTATTTCAAATTGCAAAATATATTTGTTTATTACATATTATAAATAGATTATGTTATTACTTATTATATAAATAAGCGATTTATCAATAAAAATATTTTATATACTTTTAGAATTGTAATTGATTTGAATATGTTAAATTATAGATATATAAAATGTATATTAAAAATTTAAACCATTTATATCATTTCAGACAAAATTAGATATGATATCGGATCGGCCGATATCAATTTAATATCGGGAATATCGGATCGGATCGCCCTTTGAAAAGTGGTATCGGTACACCCCTACTTTTAATTGTGAGCAAAGTTTTCTATAGTTAATTTTCAAAATTGTTAATGATTTAACCCCATAACCTTTACTAAAATATTTTGTTACTACCCATGTCTTACTTGAATAAATGCATTTTCCCCTATATTCCACATATATTTTGACCAAAATTTATATCCCATGAAAAAAAAACACTTATATTGATTTTTATTAACAAACGCATGATTAATCTCTTTTCGAATTAGATTGTAATTATCACATACCCACTTTAAAATATTAACAATACATTGATAACTAATGATTTCGCACAGTGCTGTGTTAAGACTTGGTGGTCCGAGGCAAAAACTAATTTGGCGGCCATTTTACAAACTACAATTTAATTAAGCTTATTTGAAATTTTTTTTTCGTATTCTTATAAGGACTAAAAGCATGTAATAAGGTAAAATTTATTGAATTTTAATCATAAACATGTGTAACGCATTTTAGCGGCCATTTTACAAATCACAATTTAATTAATCTAATTTGAAAATTTTTTTTCGTTATAAGAACTAAAAGCATGTAATAAGGTAAAATTTATTGAATTTTAATTATAAACATGAGTAACGCATATAAAGTAATAATTAACGACATATACCGAGTATACAATCTTGAAAAAATATTAGTTTTAACATTTATCCCCCGCCTTTTTATTTGCAAAAGAGGATATTATGTTAGTGCGATTTAACGACGATGCAATCTTTCTCGATTGAAATTAGTGATAGGTTACGAGGTGGTCTTGTGTTATGCAGGATTTTAAGTAATTCTTAATTAGTTTGAGCTTTGAGAGTTCAGTTGATGCAATGGTAATTGGAATAGTTAGAATAATCCTCAAAGCAATAAACTTATTGTCAAGGTTTCATTTAGCCTATTTTGTTAATCATAGCATAAGATTTCTATCAAAAATCAGATTTTTAAATTTTATAAAATATTTTTTTTTACAAATATATTATATTTTTTACCTTGTATCTTTGAATAAAGAAATTTTTTTTTTTAAGATTATTCTTTTAATCGCAAAAAAAAGAGAAAACTTTAATAACTAAAAAACAAATCAATTTTTATGTTTTTAAAAAGATATTGCTAGACATGTCAAACCGGATAAAAACATGTAATCAAGTTATTAACCGAAATTAAAATGCATATTATTAATTTAATTTAAAATGCCAAGCCAATAACGAATTTTTCTTTTTCTTTTCTTATAAAAACATGCAATTTTTAAACCAACAAAAATCATAAAATAATTAAACAATTTATAAAAAAAGTTTCGATTTTGATAGAGAAAATTGCAAAAATATTACGATCGCAAATATTGAAAAACGTCAAATTCACGACATTTTTAAAAATACATTTTAATAATTTGTTTCGCAATAAAAAAGATTTTTGGATTTGCAATTTTTCAATAAGACCTATCTACACTTACCTAATGATTTGATTAAAAAGGATGATAAAATCGTATCAGCAGATCATGTCAAAAGAGGAAGTTTTTTTAAAAATTTATTACACACTGATTAAAATTTCTGTTCATCTTTTTATTATAGTGTCAATGTGTTTTATTAGGCCTATTCAAAAAAATTATAAAACGAATCGAATAATGAATTATTCGTATTCGATTCTTGTAACCGAATCAAATAATTTGTTATTCGTACGAATAATATAATTTACTAATCTTATTTAGATTGTTATAATCACTAATATATTCAATTCGTTAAAAGAAATTAAATTAGGCCTATAAATTTATGTTATTAGTCCGCACCCAAATAAACTGTTCGTATCATCGTCTCGAGTGTTGTCTATATAGTCTTTGCGAAAGAAAAATTAAATTTGTTTTCCATTATGCAATATATACATCAAATTAAATATTTTAATAATTATTGTAAATATATTTATGTCAAATTCTTAAGGTTTATTAACCTGCGGTACCATACAGGGTAACGTGTTGCTATGGCAATTGGCTTACGCGAAGGCGGATCCGAGCCAGGTAACATGGGAATTGATTTACCGAACAACCTTACAGTCGATCATTAAAAATATCCAGGTTTTCTTGTTTTTTTTTTAAAAAATATTCTGGTTTATAACTATTAAATAAATGATAAAAAATGTATATTATATGAGCGAGAAAGTGGTTCGCTATATTAAACTCAAACGACGCAGTTACATACACTGATGATTCATTGATTAAAATAATGCAAATCAGCTAGTGACACGCCATCTTAGTTGCATACAAAATTTTTTTTATACATGAATGAAACTCTGATTTTATCTTATAAACAGTTTGATAAATTATTTACAAAGGAAACTAAAATGGCATGACCAGCTGATTTGAATTGATACACTTTTAATGAATGGATCATTAGTCTTTATTCAAAAAAAAAGAAAAATATTCATACGAAAACTTTTGATTTTAACGGTCGCGGTTTCCGCCCCCGTTTTATATTTTGGTTAGGCCTTATTTTTCGGAATAATCCGCATTCACAGTTAGCGCGATTAAGATATATTTATTTGAATTTTTTGTTTTGTTTAAAGTCTTCTAAATCCGTGGAGCTAAATGGAAATCAACTCTTAATAATGATGCCTAGAAAAGTGGTTATGCTCGAGCAAACGATGATTCCCACCGTGTTCAAGGGTCAGGTATAAATTGTATATATAATTTTTCACAAAAATAACCCCCCCCCCCACCTTCTACCTTGATTATGATGTAAATTTTTTTTTATTAGGTGGCGATTAGTTATTCGAGTTATCACCCATCATCCCTGTTTTATCAAACGCTCTCTAAAGATAAAAAATTTTCAGACAAGGATGAGTTTACTCACCGCTTACGCCATATCAAAGGTTTCCAATATGACGGCGACTCAGTTCTAGTCATATGGGACGCTTCCCAATTTTATTTCTACCGATTCGAAATTCAAGCTAAAACATTCCAACTTTTAAGTAAATATTCCCCGAAAGAAATATGGTTTAGCATTCGCATGTGACCAGGGCCAAACGCAATGGAATTCAGGGAGGGGGGGGCGTAGAGGTTGTTCGGGCAATCTTATGCGATTTTGAGAAACGCTAAAAAAAATTAAAAATTATTTTCTTTAATACCCTGAAAGTCCTTAAAATATTTTAACTAGCTTGGGTGAGATAATTTAGTAATCATTTATCTTTTTTTGATTAACTTTACTAAGTTAAATCGATTTCTAAATATCAAAGTTTGGATCCGGTGCAAAAAAAAGTTCTCGATTTATTTCATAAGAAAGTGAGACTTCAGACCCGGTTCTTAAAAATCTGGAAAAGGTTCCGGTTTCAAACATTGTTCCACACTTTTGTTTGAACCGAGTTTGGATGATTTATGGATAACCTATCAAATCCTGTGTGTTTTATAACCTGGGCGGGTATGGGCTCCTCTTCAGTTCCAATTTAAATTCTCATTAAACAATTAAAATACCCGAATTGAGGTTCAAAGCCCTAATCGCGGTCTTTTTTACTTTGTAAATTAGTAGCTATTTTCAAAGTTCTAATGGCTAGAAACTTTCAACTTGGTAGTTCTTATTATTTTAAAATACAAAGTCTTTATTTTTTTTTTACCTTTTCAAAACAAATGATTTTACAATATAACGTCTTTATTTTCTTGTTTCAAAGGAAATTTTTCTTTTTCATGTTTTTATATCTGATTATTATTTTTTTTTTATAATAAATATTAAAAATATTTATAATAATGGTCACGATGAGTTCGCGAAACTTTAAAAAAAAATATTAAAAACAAAACTCCAAAAAAAATATTTCATGACTCACACAAAAAAAAATAATATTAATTATGATTAATAAATAAAAATATTTACAACAGCTATCATAATTATTATTTATACAGCCTCCATCGCCTACCCTTCCAAAAACTTATTAGCAGTAAAATGTGTAATCTACCAAAATTTAATGTTTGTAATGTTTCGAGAAATATCGCGCAACAATACCAATCACGTGTTTTACCTTTCGACCAATTACGTCGATTCGATTCACATGGAATCTCAGGAAGAGGAAAAAGGATTGGAATGGTTTACATTAGGTCACGGAGTTCAAGGGTAATATAAGATATAAAAAAATTATTTAATTATTATTAATGATTATTTTTTTTTTAAATGTAATAATATATAATAACCCTTTCATCACAGAAATCTGTGACCAAAAAAATCAATAAAAATTTCATTTTAAATGTAGGAAGTTTAATTTAAATACAACATACCGTCGGCTGATGATTATGGTGTTCTATTTTCCAATTTTACAGGAGACTTAAAAAAATTTACTCTTTACATTTTCATTATAGGAAGTCATTTGTAAGAATAATTAATTTTATTTATTTATTTCGATTATGCTTATAAGCCATAGGTAGGCAAATTTTTATAGATCTAACTAATATAGTTCTGCTGGAACTTATTTTCCACTTTTTTTTGAAAAGTGGAGATGGAAAAATATGATAAATTTTACCATTAAAATTAAATTAGAACGTTATATATACGAAAAAATATTATTTTTATTAACATAAAATCATAATTTCTTTAGAATATAATAGAATTATTCAATTATCAAAATCGGAAAATATTTTAGCTGTGCTAATAAGTCGGTATTTTTTTTCTTTTTAGTTTATTGTGCAGATTTCGCTTGAATTATTAGTTGAGGTATTTTGAGATGAAGCCGTCTATATAAATCAGCATGATTTTATTTTTAGACTGATTAATTTAAGGATATTGAACATTGTAGTAATATTATATTTTAAAAAATAGTTCACAGAATAATATAATAATGTAAATAAAAAATTATTCCTAACTATTTTTTCATCTTTTTATTGCTGATATAAAAACAATTCAAGACTGAATACCAAAAAAAACGTGTTTCACGAAAAAGTGGATATGGAGCAGTATAATCCTCAGCTAACGATGTTGTATATTGCAATTTGAAATTGACGAATTTTTTTTAAAACAGCCTTTCTTCCCCAAAAAATATTAAGAAAAACATATATATATAAGATTTAATTATATAACTTATTTTTGCAAGATTTTTTTTTAAAATAAGAATATAATCATCAATTGTTTGTTTCATATTGAAATATCTTTTTTTAAAGCATACGTTAAAAGTTTAAAAAACGCGATCCGGTCTTTGGTCATAAAATGACCGGTGGATCCAACCCATAATCCTAAAATAAAAGACCGGTACAGACCGTGGTCCTAAATTAATTTAAAATATTTATATGTCTTTCCTAATTCAATTCTTGTTTTATCATTTATTAAATATAAATGTATTTTATGTTAATTTATAATATCAAATAATATGAATAATGTAATATATAAAAAATATTAAATTTAAAAGTAAAATGATTTTTTTGATAAACTTTTTGTTTTCCAGAGTACAATTGCTAAAATGAACTAAAAAATAATCCCCAAAACGAAGGTAATATATCTAGAAAAGAAAAGTAACATAAAATAAAAAAATATATTAAAAAAAAATATTATTAAGACAAACTTAAATATTAATGAAAAACCGGCCTGGACCACTAACTAAAATATAATTAAAAGACCAGTCCGGATCGCGAAAAAAAGATCGGTCGTCAAACAGTCCGGCCCGGCTAAGACTAATAGGACAATTGACCTTTTCTAGAAATACCGGTATTAAATGGACCTGGTTTAAAAAGTGTATATTTCGGAATTGCCAGTAAATATTTTAATGCATAACTATCTTGAAATGATAATAAAAAACCCTTAAAAATAAGTTATCAAAATATGTTTAAGGATGGGTCACTATCGGCAAATGAAATGGGCATATGCTTTGGATCGGTTTTTAACAATTTTTTTCCGATTCGATCCTAAACAAATTTTTGATATGCTTTGGATCGGTTTTTAACAATTTTTTTCCGATTCGATCCTAAACAAATTTTTGATCGGCTAATCCTATTGCCCCCTTATAATAATTTCGTTTTATAACAGACTTTATTGCTATATCGATATTCCAAGATGCTTATCTTTAAAAAAAAAATTAAACTGTCAATCTGGTGTCAATTCTGAGATAAAAACATTTATAACTAGGCTCATTTAACATCGGCACAACCCTAAGAGAATAGTAGATCGTGAATGAAAGGAATAATAGAAAATAAGGAGTGAATTCGAACCTATATAACAAAAGATTCGACATTTTAGGAAATATCGCTACAAAAAAAATAAACAAAACAGGTTTGATCTCCATTTTGATACGCTATCCACGTACGATTCCAAAAACTTAATTAAATGCTACAAACTTAAATCCAAAAACAAGGCCCCTTTTTCAAAAATATTGCTCGATAAAATTTTGCTCTGTCCCGATTTTCAGAAAACTTTTTCGCAATTCGCGGAGAGCGAATGGCGATTGGCCGAAGTGAAAAACAACGTGGATTCTAGATTTTTCAGCTTGATCTTCGAAACGATTGCATTAAGAGACGTAATAAATTCCTCCTTTATTTTAAAAAAAAATTAGAATAAAAGTTGGTGATAGTATATACTTATTAGAGATAAGCACGCTTGGAACCGGCTCGTTAAACCACCATGTTCGACCCGGCCCGGTTCTTAAAAATTAATAAGTTCAAATTTTTAAAATGAGATCTCGTGCCGGATCAATTCTTAAACCGGGTTCAAATAATTTGTCAGGAAAATTTATGAACAAAATTTTCTTCCATTTTATAAGGTCGGGGCTACAAAATACAACACCCTCATTATATGGCAAGTCGAAAGCGACCTCATTTTCCCGTTAGACATCAGTAATATTTTCGAGCAAACTGGCCTCATATTCAATTTCGACGAGAAGTAAAATGAATAAATTTACAAAAAAATTTTTTTTAATAATAATAATTTATTTTTATTGAAGCCTGATTAAAAATCTCGGAACGTCGTATTATGTAACAGGTCATCATTGGGATGCTAAATTTCCGAGTTTATTTGGACTAATATTCTGCGCTAGTAACGAATCCATGCTGCCAGTAATTAAAAAAAAAAATCTTGTTTGATATTATCTTATGTTAATGCGTCTACATTGCCAGATCATTGGAGTTCTCTCTTTTCCCCAAAATTGCATCCTGATGCATGGATATTAAGCCTTACGTACATGTCAGACAGATTTGTTATAATATACTTTTTAAATGTATCAAAATATAAGAAATAAACGAAAATAAATATACGATAAATTTAAAAAGAAAATAATTTTATAACTCCAATTTGAAAGATAGCACGCAGAGGCATGCCAATGATTCAGCGAATAAATTATTTATTAGATCGTCTGCTTACTAATATTTATAATAATTGCGAATAATTTCCATAACATTTTCATGTTTTTGTAAATTATATTATTGTCTGCCTTTCATTTTCAGCCGTATTCTTAATTACAACTGGCCCTTTTTATATTTCAATCATATTCTAAAATATATAGATTTAATTCATTTACAGCCTTTGAATATATTTTTAGAGAATTATAATGTGATTGGAATATAATGATTGCAAGAATTTCTTAAAATCTTAATGCCAATCTAAATATTCCATTTTAAAAGTTAAGTATTTTATTTGTTGCATTTTATTATAATATTAAGTTTAATTTATATATAATAAAACAACTAGAAAGGGATTTATAGTACATTCCCCCCTTATTTTTATCATATGGGTAACAAGATTTTGTCGACTTCCTTGTGAAAGAAAAAACAGGTGCGATTATTCCAGAATTCGCATAATTCAGTCATAGACAAACTTGCTAAATAAATGAATTTATTCTATTTTTTCTCGCTATTTGGGCTCACATTTAAAATTATCTTCAATCAAGCAACAACCAAAAATAAATTCTATTTTTAATGAGTTATTTTCATCAAGATTTTAGCCTAATTTTTTCAGCTATTTATTATCCTGCAAAATAATATAGTATCTTATTCTCTACCTCGTATCATGAAAAAATTTTATCTTTTTTTTTCATCTTATTTTTAAAATATACAAAATAATAAATAATTTAAATTTGTTAGAGGCAATTCTTTGCAAAGATTATTACCAGTTCTACGGCCTCCGTTAATTTGATGGAGATGGGCAGCTTATCCTCGAATCCCTGGTTTGATCCTGTCGTTCGTATGGAATTCCCTTTTGTTTACTGCCTTAAAAATGTTTGAACAAAGCAACATATATAACTTTAACTATTATATTTATAAAGAAATGCTAGATAACCTTTTAAAAATGTATGAAATATTATTGAAAACAATTTTGTTTTAATAGATTATATGATTATATGACGTAGGTTGTTTTTTTGGAAAAAGAATATTTGAACTCTCATTTATATAAGAGCAATTTTTTCGAAATTTGGAAAAAAAAAATTAATTTTACGGGAAATGCATTCCAGTATTTTTAGAGGACATATCCTATATCAATTTTAATTTTGCCGCAAACTTTTGAACTGAAAGGATCTTTCATATAAATTTTATTAAAAATGGTGGAAATTGTCTGGAATTTTATAGGATAGGTAATCTACACATGCTGGAATACATCTCCGGTAAAATTGGATTATTTTTCAAATCGAAAAAAAAAATCGCCCTCGTGGATTCTATAAAATTGAGATTACGAATCCTCACCTGAGGGTTCCGAATGAGTCGTTATTCCAGAACAACTTTTTTCCAGTTTTTGCGGATATTAACTTTAAATAAGAGTCCTAAGCTGGCAAACGACTGAGCTTTCTTAGGCTGGAATCATACTGGGATCCGATCCGACGCGATTTAACAGCTGATCGATTTTTAAAAAAAAATCTGTTTATGAGATCAATTTTTCTTTATTAATATTAATTATATTTTTAATTTTCTATTCATGATAATAATCTAAGAATTAATGATTTTAATTTTTAAAAATATTGGTCCCATTAAAAGATTTTTTTAAAAATCGCTCAGTTGTTGAATCGTGTCATTAAACCCTACTAGGAATCTAACCTTAATCCTTAATGAAAGAGGGAGGGCGAGAATAAAATAATTTTAAATTTAGTTTCGATGCAGTCTACTAATTTCCTCCTCCTATAGAACTTGTTATAGATGAAGAATGGTTCATTTAAGAATTAAATAATTATTTTAAGTAATTTCAACATTTTATTCAAAAACGGAGCGAGATTAAGAGATATATATATATTACAACACTTCTATTTATATATTTTTAATTTTATTTTACAGAGCGAATTGATTCAGGACAAGGAAGTGTATCAGACAGATGACGATATCATAGAAATAAAAACTTTTAACACCATTTTAGATATCCATTTGACGCATTCAGAAATTTTGATTGATAGTAAATTTGATACTGATAACGAAAAAAAACCAAACTTAATCACTTACAATCACCCGCTAATTTACGACAAGTTGGAAAGCGTAGATTGGGCCTATCTGTTCAAGGGAATAACTTGCGTTGTTTTAGAAGAATGGAAATTATTATATGGTTGGCTTTATGCATGCAAAGAGTAAAAAATTATTAATAATGTTTGTATCAAAATTTACTTTAACATATTTGAGTTGTTATTACATTAAAGGCAGTATCAATACTAAAAACTTAAAATTTGCTTTTAATGGATAAATAACAAAAATAAATGTTTTTTTAAAAAAATATTCTCAATTTTCGTCATTAATTATTATCAGGAATTCGTTTTATGGGCACTTGGCTAAATTTTGTCTACACTACGGATATTTAAAGATGGCAGCTATGTGCTTGAGAAAATACATGACTCTAGAAGGATATCGCAGTTTCGAGTTTTTCACGCAAAATCTTATAAATAAATTACCTCCTGACTCGCCGAACTACGATGATATGGAACCTATGAAAATCGCCATATATTTTGCCTTTCTCGGATATCGAGTTTGTTATTTAAAGACGATCATATCTATATTTTTTATTTTCTGCAATTAATCTTAGAAAATTAAAATTTGTTTTATTTGTTTTGTTTTTGATAATACGATACAGGACGACGCCATCGACATTTTAAAAGAACTCATAAAATCTCGGAACAAGGGCGCTCTTTATTTGTACGGTCTATGGGCTCATTCTTTACCCTCCAATGATTCATTAAATATCATCGAAAAATCCACTAAAGATGGGGTACCTCTGAGCGACATTATTAGACCTACGATTGATGATAAAATTCGCGAGACCCATTTTAGTTCCCTAACCTTGGGGAATTTTAATTATAACTTAGCTCGAACCGCCAAGATTAATCTCGTTTATTCGTCGGAAAATGAATCACTGATCGGAGATATGCGGGCTCTAATGCGGCACCACGTGCCTGAGCCTGATGACGTATCGACAAACAGTGACTATCATATTTCGAATTTCGTAAGGTTCGTGTTGACCAAATGTGGTCATAACGTTGGCGCCAAAGAAATCTGCTCATTTTTACCTACGCTCTTACGCCAAAATAATATCCTCACCATTGATGAGGGTACTTCGGAAAAATTTAATTGCGTTCAAAATTTAATGGCGAACGTTTCTATCGACGAAAACGATTGCGACGAAAACGAATATCGTGTTCTGAAGACTAACCAAAATAGCCTAAACGAATGGGTCGCTCAATACCTAGAATCCCAGGGGTTATACGATCTTGCTCTCGGCTATTACGAAAAAATAGAGGACGTTTTGTCAATCGTTAAAATGTTTTGCAAAATGGGTCGGTTGGATAAGGTAAAAAGAAAAATTACTGGTGTATGCTCATGCATAAGTTTTTTTTATCATTACCTACTGAAGATTATATCGTATAAATTCACCATTACGAATAATGAATTCATTATTCTAGTCAAGTTCAGGTAAATTTTTCGATTAAATTCTCCAGTTTGGAAAATCCAACCGACTTTTAACAACACTACTTCATTTGCCGTTACCCATTTTTTTTTATAATTATTACGAATATATTTATTTTAGATTAAGGAAACCAATTTTTTTTATCCACATGGTAAAGTAGAATTTGTTTAAAATTAAATAAAAAGTGTTATACATAAATTATTGTTTTATTTATTACATATGCTACTAAAGGCTGTAATATTAGCCCAAAAATACGAGAACGAGGCCGCATTTTTTTACCTGGGTCAAAAATGCGAGGCAAAGGGTGACATGCTATCCGCCATCAAATTTTTTACCTTCGCCGATGCTTATTCCATAGCCTTTAAATTGTGCAAAGTAATAATCTAGATAATCGGCATATATTTTGGGGTCGTTCTAGCCCCGGGCTCTTAGGTTGAGTCGTAAATTATAAAATTAATAATTTTTAATTTACTTGATTTTTTTACCATTCATAAAATCTTTAAAGTTTTCGTTCTTCATAAATGGGATGATGTTATAATTTTTTTAAAAAAAATATATTTACCCCATATTAATTATCGTAAAATGTGTTTTCATTTTGTTTTAGGCGGCCTCTAAAGCCGATACATTTTTCCCAAACAAGAAAAAAATAGAGAGAAAGTTAATAAGGAAAAAGAAAGTTAAAGAATGAAAAATTAAGAAAGGAAAGAACGAAAAAGTTAGAAAGGAAAGAATGAAAGGAAACATAACTGTCCAACGAAAAACTTGGGACACTTGCTTCTGAATACATTATTTCTCATGAAAAGTAAATGAGCATATGGACGGTTGCCATAAAAAAAACATTTTTTAGAGTTTTCATAAATTCAAAGTCTATTTTTTTATTATATATATATATTAAGGCCTATAATATGGAAGAAAGGTTGTTCGAATTGGCCCAAGACTTTCCTCTCGTTCATAAATTAGAAATAGCAAAGTATTTCGAAAGGAAAGAGGGTTACGGATCGAAAGCCGAAACATTGTACAAATCGGTATAAATAAATTTTATTTTACGCTTAATGGTTAGTGCATGGCTGCTCTAAAATGATTAAATAAGTGGTAATAAAGTTTAAAGCCAGAATCTGGAACCCCCATCCCTCGAACCGGGAATAATTTAGGAACACTAGAACCGCTTAAAATTTTCAGAAAACCAGCTCCTAAATCGGGTCTAACGCAATTTGTGTATTGTTTTTAAATGTCTGCCCGATTTATTATTTTAGGGGATTTATTTGTGGTTTAAAATTTTCTTTTTTGATCTTTGGTCGAGGTCAGAATCGGACAGAACCCGTGTTAGTCCAGGTTCCAAACTCCAATTAAGATTAGTGTTATATTAGCCGTTCGCCACGGAGGAAAAATAAGAAAAGAATACCCATTCAAAATATTATAATAGATTGGAAATCGAGAAAAGGCGCTCGAAATGGCAGTTAAAACGTCCAACATTGATACCCTGAATCAGATGATGGATGCTATTGACCCGAATACCGATCGCAAGTTAGTCCAGAGCGTGATAGATATATTCGTTAGCCATAATCAAATCGAGAAGTCAATACGCATCTACCTTAAAATCGGAGAGGTCATTTTAAATGATTAGATTTTGTTTTGCTTAAAAAGATAATTTTTTTTAAAAAAAGTAATGGTCATTGAAGTTAAGTATTATTAATTTTTTTTTGTAAAATAGCTATGTTTAAAACTTAATTAATTAAAATTAAAATATACAATTTTTCCGCAAAAAAATCGCTTAATCATTCTGGCCCTTCCTTTTATTAGCTCAAGCGGTGCCTATATATTTTTTTAATACTAATTTACGTTTTTCTTCTAAATTTATGATTGGCATTTTTAGGAATCCCAAGCGATTCAACTGTGCGTCGATAAGTTACCGAATTTCGTGAACCAACTCACCGATCTCCTCATGATTCGAACCACGGAAGGTGAAAACTTGATCAACCGTTTCCGGGAATTAGAAAGAGATACCAAATCTTTTACTAAATTAGCGCTTTGCGCTACAAAAACTGGGAATCATCAAACGGCTTGCAAAATTTACAATTCTATTTTGGGCGATAAAATTGAAGTAGGATTTTAGATATTTATTTTAATTATTCCTAGGGAAAAATAAATGCTTTGGAAATGAGAGATTTTTAAGAGATATCTTTCGACGTAAATACAATCCCTCTTTGAGATCGCCGATATCTAAGGTTCCCTTCCTGTAACAAATTTTAACAAGTCTAAGTGACTCACTGTTGAAAAGTCCTAGAATGGGAGCATTAAGTTAGCTTTCTTCAAAGTCAACGTATATGTTTAATTTTTGAAGTTTCTGCTTTTTTTCAATGGCAGATTGATAAATTTGACCAAGATGAATATGTTGGTGATTGGCGGTAAGGCCACAATAAACAGATAGATGGGACAGCGCCATTGCAACCATGAAACGTCGCGTGTATTTACTTCGCAACAAAATCAAACTTATCGTCTGCCATTAAAAAAAATACGCTAGAGTAACTAATACGGCTATCATACCCTAATAATGTTCGACTATGAGGATTATCAAAATTCTAGAAAGGAAAAGATCTCTAGACCTAGATACTGGCGATCCTAACAAGGGTCTCTATATTCATCAGAAGATATCTTAAATGAAATCTGTCGTTTCAATTTTCTAAGAATTATCTCCTTGCTGTGATGTTTTCTTTTTTTGTTAGAATATTTAATAACATTTTATATATTTTTAATTTAAATTTTAATTTACTCTATATAATTTTTATATTGGAATCTAATGAGAAAGCCATTTCAATTCTTATAAACATATTAATTTTAATTAAAATTTATAAGGCTATGAAATGCCTGATAAAATCTGGAGATATCCCTCAGATTTTGCTCTTTTCTAGATTGGCGAAACGTCCCCAAATCTATATAATGGCAGCCAATTACTTACAAACTACGGATAATTGGCAAACGCAACCCGAAATTTTCAAAACTATCGTCGAAAATTATACCAAAGCTAAGGCTTATGTTCAACTCGTCACATTTTTCGAATCCTATGCTCAAGTAATTATAAATATTCTCATTGTTCAAATGAAACCCCTTTGTTTGACCTTTAAGGATTCATTCCTCTTTTATAATTTTGATATTAGAAGGCTTGGCAACCAATAAAAAAGATGGTAACATCCACATCTTTCGTGAATGTTATTAGTCAATTTGAATGGCGAGTTTCATAGATTAAGAATTTGAATAATAACACGATAATATTTATCCATATTTTTAGCATAATAATACAGTAGAACCTCGATATAATGTTTCTTAAGTTAAATTTTTTTTCCATCGAAACTTCATTTTTGATTATCATATTTAAACTAGTCATTAGAATTCCGAATTCCAGTGTTAAAGCCACTTTTTTTTAGTTGTTCACGTTATATATATATAATTTCATTTTTGAAAAGATTATTGGTCTTGGCCCATAAAATTAATTTGATTCGCTTATTCTAAGCAAAAAAAAAATTGCGAAATTTTGTCCCGGGCCCTTAAAAATATAAAACATCTAATGTAAACTACTAAAATTATAATTATTTATAGACCTTATTTTTTGATTTTTTTAAAACTTCTATTCTTTTAGATATTATTTTGTAATAAATTAATTTTTCTATTCTTTTTAATTGATTTAAATTTCTTTACCCCTCGCTTTGTGCCCATTTAGTATAAGGTTTTGATTTCAATTTTAAAGGAAAATATCGGTATTCCTACTTTGATTTCAAAGAATCGCTGCGTGCTTTGAATATGCTATAAATAAAAAATTTTAAAATGAGCATATATATATTTATTTTAATGATTGCAAAAATGTAACGTTTTCTCTTTCAAATGATATATTGAATTTTTTTATATCATTTAAAAAAAAAATCAATCATCTAGGATAAGATAGATAAAAATGATTATTCTCAAGCGCTAACCATATTACTTCAAGCCTTGAAATTCGTGCCTAAAGTCAAAGAGTTTGATTCTAATCAAGAAGATAATTCTACCAAAGAAACCCACGAGTCTAGACTTAGAAGGGAGATCGAACTTTCGAGAAATTTTATGAGAGCTCAAAAGTTATAATTTTAATATACCTATCTGGTGGGCCTTAAAATGGTATAATTTTCATATTCCAAGTGGGAACTAGGCTGATTAAAAATTTTATTTATAAAAATATTAATTAAATCGGTTGAAAAATCATATGATGGATCCTTTAACATTCAACTGCTCACTTTTTTTTTCTATCAAAATAGTCTATAAACATCTAAATTTATTTAAAATAACAAATTTTTTAAAAAATCCGGGGGGGGGGCATAGCATAAAGGGATTAAATTAAAAAAATCTAGGCCCAGGCTTGAAAATGATTTTTTTTTAAATTAATAATCTGGCGGTATGTAAAATTTTGACCTCTGCATGCATATCTATGATGTCATATAATATAACTTTTATAATTCATCTTATATACATATTAATAATAATTTTTATAATGCAATAAGTAGTCAGATGTTCATTATCCCATTCACTTATTAAAAAAGATGAAACCAAATTTTAAATATTATATTAATAATCTATAACAAAAAATAACTATATATTTTTTAAAAAAATGACATGAAAAAACCAATATACATAGAAGCATTTTTTTTAAAAAAAGGAACATGAGTAAATGCTTATGAAATTTGAAATCTGCTGACGAAGGTAAAATCTTATGTTGGAGTCACCTGCTATGAGTCTTTTTTTGCCTATGGCTTTGATAAAATTGAAAGCCTCCTTTCCCAACATCCCTAATACTGACTCTTTATACTGTGTTCCAGAGGCCAGCGTATTTTTTTAACCACTTCTGCCTTTTCGATGGCAGATAATGGGAGGTTAGACTTCGCTGCAAAACAATGCGTATGTAGTCGGTGGGAGACTGTTCGTCTGTGGTGAGGATATGCCACCCAGGTATAGGGCGTTACCATTTGAAAGACCCACTGGTTCGAGATGTGGTGGGATATTAACTTTTATAGGGCTGCTAGGATTCTTGTTATGGAGGAGGGTGACATCCCCCGGAGAACTTGTAATGCAAGGGATGGTAGGCATTCGATTCGAAGGTCTGGCCACAATCGACGCAAATGGAGGGTATAACTGCATTGCAACCAGGGCGAAGAGTTATGGGTATGCATAGCTGTTCACTAGTCACGAGGAGGCCGAGATTGGAACTGTGGATATCTTCCAACTATTAATTCTAAAAATAACTAAATTTATTAATTACTTAAAGTGTCTAAATCGAAACCTATATATTATATAGAATAGGATTCAAAATTTGTTTATTATTTAAAATACACAATCATAAAAACCAAAAATGTACCCTAGCCGATATTTAATATTGGCACAGCCCGTAAATAAATTCCAACTAAGATTCCGTACTCTCAAAGAACCTTTATTTATCAAATTTCGATGTTTAGATAATATTATTTTAGCTAAAATCATAATCGGGTCCTTTTTATAATTAAATCGGGTCGTTTAACACACTAAACGCCTATACGCGTCCACTTAGATGAATGACATTGCAACAAAGAAATATAATAATAGATTTTTTTCAAAACAATCCTGACCCTTTTGCCCTTATCATCTCCCCCCCCCCTCTGCACACTTAAAGTGATGATTGCTATTACAGTTAAAAAATATTATAAATAGCTCTCATCGATTCCTGATAGTTGTTTAAAAATTACGACATAATTAAATTATGAATAATATGGTTACAATGTTATTACACAACAAACCACTTTATAACAAGATGTAACATTTACCATAAACTCTCAGTCATATTTTTATCGGTTTTGACCACTGGTTTAATCAACAACCAATTTTTCAGTATTTTATCTCTGGTTTTTGGTTTGAACGTTTCTACAAATTTATTTATTTCTTTACCTTTTTTTTTATCTTGGATAATTTTACGCTTGGTTTAATAATCGTTCGTTTTTATTATAAATTAAAATAAAAAAAAATAGTCAAACAAATGTAATAATCTTTTTTTTCTTCTTTTTACAAGGTTTTTATAACCCCCCCCCCCCCCCCCCGCCAAAAAAAATGTTAAAAAAAATATTGACAAAATTGCATTAATTACAAAAAAAAGAATATTTGCAAACAATATTAAATTGGGTCTGATATCATTATTAGGTTTTTGAAGTGCAATTAGCCTGGCACCAAAGAGGATAGGTGAAACGAAATTTGGAACCTCACCGTTTAAAATTTTGTTGCATAAGTTTGTTAATTTGGGGAGAACGGATGTTTGTGAGCATGTAGAGGGGGAAGTGAAGTCCTGGAGAAAAATGGGGCGTATGCCATCGAGCAAATGAGCGGAATCGCGATGAAAGGAGAGAATGGCTTTCCTCACTTCTTCGGGAGTAAAAAGAGAAGCGCAAGTGGAGTGAGGTTGAGGAGAAATAGGGATGAAGTTGGCTAAGGGGTGTTTTTGACATAACTTTAAATAGGTGGACATGGATGGCTCAGCTAAAGAGTCATGTGTGGACACCAATCTGAGTGCTCCTTTTATATTGAGGTTGTCAATTTTCTTGCAGATCAAATTGGCCTTCAACTCTATTGGTGAGAATCTTCTTTTGTTTAAGACTGACTGTGAGATTTTGTTTTCATGAAGATGGGGGGTCTTCATCGAAGCAGCATCTTTGATTTGCTGAGTGAGGGATTTAGGTGAATTTTTGTCAGGCACTCTGAAAGTATTATATCCAAAATATAGGAATTTTAGCCATTCTTGCTCATTACTAAAGTTTTGCAAGAGAGAGGATAGGCAGTCAGCAAAAGATTTAGCAACAGACAATCTAGCACCTTTGGGGATCCTTGAAATAATATTTGGTTTGGGATGATCAAGAAAAATATCTGAGAAGCTGGAATTTGGATTGTGGTGAAGTGGAACAGAATTTTCTGGGGGGATAATCAAAGTATTGGTAAGGGAAAAAGGATCGTGGCCAGAGTGTGAGCATCTGAGTGAAGGAGGACCATGGACTTGTAAGCATCCATTTTTCCTAATATGTACTGTTTTTTGACAAGAGGGACAGATTTGTGACGATGACATACAGGGGATGGTAAATTAAGTATTCATGTAGTAGAAAAAATTAATTTGACTCATACAATAACTATAGACCAGCAACAATTTTGAATGATGAGGTTATTATTGATTATTTTGAATAAATTCATTAATGATGATAAGAATTCAGGAGAATTATAACAGCTGATTGTGAATAATAAGCAAAAAGCTTGGTTATTGCTAGTTTGGGAGAGAAAGATCCAAGGACATTATTGCAGCATGGTATGAATATGATCAAGGACTGATGGTTGTTTAGATACTATATTACATAAGAAATATTGTCCAAGATGATATCATCTCGAATTAAGGATGATGCTTCACGTCTCCTAAGTCCCTTCCAACTTGATGTAGAAATCCCTGGTGGCTGTGAAACTGTTGTACATTTGTCCAGATTATATCTTGAAAATTTCCTTCTAATGAATCCTTGATAAAAATTGACTTCTCTAATGCTTACAACACACTCTCCCGGAACTCCTTTTTGAGTTCTTCAAGTAATCTTTTTCCCAGTTACACTAAGTTTTTTTATTCGTGTTATCAACAGCCCTCCACTCTTCTGTTTGATACCTTTAAAATCCCTTCCGTCGAGGGCATTCAGCAGGGAGACCCCCTATGTTCCCTATTCTTTTGTTTAGGTATTAATGACATCATTAAATCCATCAATTCGGTCTGCTCATTATCCTTGCATTCCTGGTACATTGACGATGGTATCCTTGGAGGATCCAATGTTGAAGTCAATAAAGCAGTGAACATCATCAAGGAGGCAGGATCAGCTATAGGACTCTCCATTAATCCAGAGAAATCAGAATTTATTCCTATCAATACAATCGAACCTAATACTAACAAATTCAAACTAACGACTCTTGACGGTCTCTATCATCTGGGAGCCCCTGTTGGTGGTAACTCTGCTATTTCTTTCTTTCTTCAGTCCACTTTGGATACTTTATTAGAGATGGCAGATTTATTTTCCCTTCTTCCTTCTCATAAAGCCTTTTTCCTGGAGAAAAATTTTTTCAATATTCCCCGTATTCTTTACGCACTTCGCTCAACTGCCATATTTAAATTCCCCATTCCACTTGGAGTTTATGATAATGGGATCAAAATCCTTATCGAAAACATTCTAAATCTTAAATTCCATGAAATTGCTTGGACACAAGCTTCTTTTTACCCACAAAGATGGGAGGTCTGGGCCTCAGATCTCCATCTGATCTCGCCTTAACGGCCTTTATATCCAGTTGCCTACTAACTAAAAACATAATAAATCCCAATTCTTTAAAACCCGACTCTTCTTTTAATGATGCAATCATCGAATGGAGGACACGAATTTCTGCGGATCACCCTCTTCCTGAATCTAATAAGCAAAAGGACTGGGATAGGCCTATTATTGCACTCTGCGTTGAATCACTCCTTTCCAGAATGCAATTATCAGACCGTCCCTTATTCTCTTCTTTGTTAAATGGTTCAGGCCATGAGTTTCTCGAGGCCATTCCGTCTATTAATCTGCAATTACAACTAAATAAAAACGAGCTCACACATGCTATCGGTATCCGTTTAAATTGCCTTATTACCCAACCCCACATTTGTTCAGGTTGCGGCTCCGCAGTTTTGGGCAATGGAAGACATAGTCTTCATTGTCGCTCATGTAAAGGTCGAATTGTAAGACATAATCAATGCAATTCGATCATTCTTAGAGCTCTTAGATCTGCTCAAATCCCCTCCACTCTTGAACCATCCGGTCTTTTCAGATCTGATGGGAAACGGCCTGACGGTATTTCGCAAATTCCTTGGAAGCGCGGTCAATTCCTGATCTGGGACTATTCTTGTATTGATCCACTCGCTCCATCAAATCATATAGTCAATATACTCGAGAAAAAGGAGACACTCAAAATAGCGAAATATTCCGAAATCTCTCAAGAATATATTTTCATCCCCATTATTTCCACTACCCTTACTACTTTTGGGAAATATGCCTTATCCTTTTTCAAGGAACTCGGCTCCCACATTCGTCAACTAACTGGTGAACCCCGCGAGGGCTTCTTCTTAAGGCAAAGGCTCTCCATCGCAATACACAAGGCTAATTATATTAGCTTCATAGGCAGTCTCTCCCCACAAGATTATCCTTCCTAACCTCAATATATTTTTTTTTAAATTTTTTTTTTTAACACCGACACAAACATATTCTCCAATACTATATTTATTTATTTCTTTAAAATGTTTTTTTTATATATGTATATAAATATATATACAAATATTAATTATTATATTTTTTTTTTTATAATAATTTAGTTTCTATAATTCTTTTAAACTTCTATTTTTTTACTCCCATTTTAATTTTACTCTATATTAAATTTAAAGATTCCTTAAATATAAGTTTTATATCATTAATATAGCTTTTTTAATGATTTTTTAATAAAACCATTTTAAAAAATAGATATAAGTATTTTATCTTAATTGTTATGTTAAGATTTTACCTTAAGCATTTAAGTGGTAAAAATTCATAAAAATATTAAGATTATTTTTATTCTACAACTCTTGAATTTGTTTTTAAAATTTAGCTAAAAATTTTGAATTTGTTTTTAAAATTTAGCTAAAAATTTTGAAATCTTTTATGTATAATATAGTATTAGATACTATAAGTCTAATGTAATTTTTATACCACAACTAGACCTTGTCATAGGTTGCAATTTTCCCGCTAAATGAATTTCTGTTACATAGGGGGGAATAAAAAATAACGTGACTTAATGTAAAAACCCCGCAATTTTTAATTCATATTAATTTTTAGGCCTGAAATTTTTAAGCACGAAGAAAAAAATATAAATTACGCTCATTTTTTAAGATCAGACCTGCAGAGGTACCAACTTGCATGAGATTTTTTCAGCCCGGCCCCGGGTTTTATATTTTAAACCTGGCCCGCTTGGAATTTTTAAAATTTTTTATAGCTAATAATGGCGATAATATTTAGTTTTAAAATATACGACCTCGCCCGGGTATTTAAAAAAGTAAAATTTCAGGCCCGGCCCAGGTATATTTAAAAAATTAAAATATGGCCCGTGTACCCGGGTTTAGGGCCAAGCCTGCAGGTCTATGGAACAAATGAAATAAATATCAATAATTGCTATGTCCTTGTCACAGAAGAATCCTAATTATTTTATTTTGATAACGAAACCGTAAAAATCCATTTAAAATGATTTTTCAAGTCCGAATCTGGTCCGATATAAGAACGAAATATTTTTTTTATAAATTTAAACTGGGCATTGGGCGGACATTTGCAAAAATTCCTTATAAAATGTTTTATAAATCGCAAAATAATCAATTTTTTTAAAAAATTTTTGGATCTTAAGAAACATGATTAATATTGAAAATTAAAGATTGATAATTTTGAAATTTATGTATTAGAAGACACATACAAACAAAAATTTTTACGATAACTCCTCTCACTTTTTAGAAGTTTTAAAGGATACAATAAATTAACTTGATAGTTTTAGCTTATTTAATCATGATACCTTAATTTTATCAATTATTAGATGCTTAATGGATAACGATCCCAATTTGCTAAAAATTTGCCAAGAGCTTCTGGAGACATTCGGCGCCAATGACAGAATTAAAGGAGACCTACGTGTTGCTATAAAAAAACAAGAAATATTTAAATTGATGCTCTTATATCATGTTAAAAACGAGGAGCTTGACAAAGTAACGAGAAAATATTGTTAGATTTAATAAAAAAAAATTTCCCAGATCATAATCTTATCACCATAATAATTGTATTTGGGCTCATATGATATGATAGAAACCTTAAATAGAATTTACTAATTTTAAATTATTATTCGAGTTATACCAATACATCTCTTTAGTAATAAAAATTAAAAAAGGTATAGGGGCTGGACTGTAAAATTTTATATATAAAAAATATACCCTCCCCCCAGCAGGGCCCATTTAAAAATAAAATTTATCAATTAATCAGTTGGAAAATCATTAATGAAGCATTTAATATTCATTTTAACTGTTAATTTTCTTTCTCACAGAATCTTTCAAAATACAATGAAAATTATTTAAAATATAAATATTTCAAAAATCATAGTCGAGTCTCAAAAATAATTATAAAAATGTTTGGACTGCTCTTAAAAATGATTTTTTTTTTCAAATCGGAGCCTAAAATTTTAATTTATATGTAGTTTTGCTAATTTAAAAAATAAAATAAATAATTGTTATAAATATCTGTTTTATTAACAGGCCAAGTCGATATTCGATGAGATGAAAATTTTTTGCAATAAAAATGGGATAGACATGAAATTATTGTTGGAAAATGATATGATCATAAAATTCGAACATTTGAAATAATTTTTTTATATTTTTAATATGAAATTATTATACATTTTTCACTAAACGATGAAAAATTTTCGATTATTTAAGATAAAACGAAAGATATTTTTATAAAAATGTTACTCATAAATAAAAAGGAATTTTTTTAAAAAAATTATATATATTATATATCAATTTAATAATAATTTTTTTCCCACACAAAAGTGACCATAATTAAGAATTTCAGTTTATTATATATATATATATCTTACCTAAGAAGTCTTACGGGTTAGCTTGTTTCACGTTGCGTTTTAAAACGCATTCTGTATTTTTTATACTATCATTCATGTAATAATAATATATATGTATACGAAAAATTATAATATTTTAAGCTCAATGGAATTTTATACGCATGAAGAATACTAAGCTAAAAAACATAAAATCCTATTAATTTTAGTAACCCTAAAGTGTCGGTTACTGTTCTGGAGACAACGCTTTATGTTGGCGTCCTTCATTAAATTCTTTAGGACATGTAAAATAATAAGAGCAATAAATTTGTAATATTTTTTTAAAGCGATTTCATTTTTGGCGAAATAATTTACTAATTTTTTTAGCGAAGGATTTTAAGTAAATCATTTTTCAACAAACTATTCAATTTCACTTGTGTTATTGCTGAACGTAGATAGGCTTTGTTAACTTACGGAAAAAAAATATAGGCTTGGCACTAGTGTGCGAACATCAGTGTCAGGTCAGCTATAAGGCCATTATGGTTTGCACGCCAATTAATTGCCATATCTTTCATTATACTTATACTTGTTATTTAATTGACCGCTACAGCTGACTCTTATTTATGATTTATGCCTGAATTCAGAACTAGTAATATATAAACATAATTAGTACTATTCTTATTGCAATATATAAATTTCGATTAACGGTTATTAGAGCATGAGGACAAATATCGATGGCATATTGTCTTACATTATACAATAAATTCAAGCTCTTCATATAAGAGTCTCCCCCATCATTTTCCTGAGTTGGGATTTTTTTTCTAAAGCTTCGCAATTCTGGAAAAAAATATTCGGTATTTTTGTTAATGAGTCTTCGATTTATTAAATCACAATATTATACAATTGATATATATAGTTATTTGAAAATATTTTGTTGAAATTACTTTAACAAAATTGGAATCATCCTCACAATATTCTTAATCAAATTATTTATAATTATTAGCATTGTATATGTAATTAGTGTGAATCATTTTTTATTTTAAAAAAAATACATATATTAAAATTTACATATAAATCTATATTAAAATTGAACATGAAAAATATTTTAAAAATAACAAATATATTAAAAAGGTGAATGCTAAGTGAATAATTCGTAGCAAGAAACATTAAATATATGAACCGGATTATTGTGATAGAAATGTTTTGTTTGTTTACAAAAAAAAGAGATATGTGTTTTCTTCTGGATTACTTGAACAAAGGGGCAGGATGATGTAGCTACGATGGTTACAAAATGGTTATCACACATCAGGTAAGAATAATTTTAGCATTTTAATGACTCGGCCCTAAGAAGAGGGTGTGTATTATTAATTTTTTGGAATGTCCCATTGGCAATCCTACCGATTTTAATTAAGCATTCTCTGTTGCTTCCAAGTTGTTATTCATGCTCGTTACCTTGGTAATCGACCTGTCTCATTTATCACCAGCCTCTTATTAAATTAACTTAGGCTTATCCTTACGATCAGAGGATCCTAAATGATATAGTGAATACACTCACCTTGAAATTTATTATGATTTCTCTCTTCCTTGTGCTAAAAGTTGAAATCTCTGAGAATCCGCATGATCTACAACACTCCCCTTAACAATGTTCCTTTTAGCCACTGCGCAGCATAATTATATATCCCTGTGGAATATATAAAGTTACCTCCTATAATGTGCCCCAATATATAAAATCTTGATAATTTTTCGTATTCTACTTCCTCCCTCTTCCTATTTCTCTTTTACGAGTACAACAACTTTAGCGTTGCCACCTATTCATACATATACCTTCAAAATTTTTTTTAGTATGCACCAATCTCACCAATAATTCCATCATTTTACCAGCTCTTCCCATCATTTGACTAACAGCGAAGTATTGTTGGATGATGTTTACATTTCCTCGACTTATTTTAGTATCGTTATTCATTTCTTTTAATTTAAACTATTTCCTATTGAAGCATTTAAACTCTCCCTTATCTAATTTCTTTTTTCTTGAACCTGATCGCGTTTATTAAAGTAATTAAATCTTTTTCATTTTTATTTTCCTAGCGATAAACAACAAAATAAGGTAGCTATAAAGCAAAGTTTATATAAAAATTATATCAAATCCTGAGATTGCTTTACTGTGTGACTCTTTTAGCAAATTGTTATGCAATAAGTTCCTTGAGGCATCTAAGATAGTAAGAAATATTGTTCTAATTTGAGTTTCAGATTTTTAAAGAAGGAACTACGAAATGCGCGGACAGTAATAATGAGTCAAGAAGTTGAATTTTATAGTCTTGGGTCGTCTCAGAGGTTTCCTAATAGTATGTTTAAAAGAAACAAATTAGACGTATGTAGTCTAAGTTTTTTTAGTGTTAAATCCATACTAGAAACCTTGCAGATGTGAAAATTTTAGACCCTGCTTATGGATCAAAATAATACCAGAGACTATAAAAATCAATAAATACTCAAAAATTGATGGAAAAATGCAAAATAAGAATAATTGAGTTAGAATTTTCTATGATAATAAAAAAAATGAATAGAAAAAAAAATAAAGGTAAAGAGGAAGGGGAATAATAAAATAATCCAAAATAAAGGTGGGAAGGAGAAAAATACAAAATCCATGAAAATAAGAGAAATAAAATACCAAATGATTAAAAATGAGTTTGGAAGAATATAAAAAACAGGCCAAAATAATATAAAAACTAGGTTAAATTTTTTTTAAAAATGTTGCTAGTTTGTAATTCTAGCTGCTTAGTTTGTAAAATATCTTCATAGTTTATAAACTAGATTTTTAATCATGATTCCCTTTTGGGAACACAATTATGAAATTATATTTTAATTTTTTTAAAATTTTATAGTGTTTAAATATTATTGTGTTTTAAATATTATGTTAATATAAAAAAGTTTGTAAGCTAGCCTAGTCTAGAGGTAAATTAACTAAACCTCTAGATAGTTTGCTAGCTGGCTAAATTAGAAATCTAGTTTGTATACTTGCTTCCTAGTTTTTTAAATTATGCTTCTTAGTTTCTAAATTATGCTTCTTAATTTGTAAACCAGCTAATCTAGAGGCAACTATCTAAACTTCAAGATAGTTTGTATACTTGCTTTTTCGTTTGTAAACTATGCTTCTTAGTTTCTAAACTAACTAAGTCTAGAGGTAAACTAGCTACCTCTAGAGAGTTTGTAACTAAATCTAGCTAATTAGCTAAGTTGGTATCAATAACATATAAAAGATCTTCTAAAAGTAGAAATACATTTTAGATTTCATTTCGAAAGATCATTTTTTTTTTATCGACCCCGCTCCATGTTTAACAAAAAAAAACAAGACTAAATATATTTCTTTTTCTAAACACTTCCTTTTCTTTTAATCCTACAATAATCTATTAATAAAGTATAATTTATAATAATAATAATAAAAAAAATCATGTTTAAATTTTTATAAAATCAAGATATATTAGAAAAATTTTTTTTAGACCAATTATTGAAAAAAAAAGAAAAAACAATTTATTCAGTTGATTATTAATAACATATATTTTATTTCTTTAACGCATTTTATTATTCCCAATAGAATATTCATATTGAAGAAGAAAAAAAATGTTAATAATTTGTTACATTCTAATTATATTTTATATATATATGTATATTATAAAAACTTGTATAATGAATTGGTGTCATAAAATAATCTATAATATTATACAATTCTTTTTTATAGGAGATATTTTTCTAACCTCATATATCTAATCTATAATATTAAAATTAAGTGATTATCGATATATTATTTTTTTAAATTTTAATAAAATTCCAATGGATTTGAAAAAAATAGATAGGAATGGTATATTATGGATACTTGGGATTTGGTCCAACTCTATAAATACCTCATTATTCAAAATTATATATTTGGATAAGAAGTTTTTCCATCATCCTAAGGTTTAAAATACGAATAATTATAAATTTCGAATTTTATTTAACGGGAATTTGGCATAAAAATGATGCCTTTTTATATAAGTAATTATAATAATTATGATGATTATATATTATTATCAATTTTTAAAAAATATAATTAATTGTTATCTTGGAATTTTATATAAAAAAACAGAACAGGCCCAAGGTCGGTTAGACAAAGCTTTAATGATAACGTGGGAAAATTTAGAATAAATATAATTAGAAAGCATAATTATATGTCATGTTGGGATATGGAATTCATTGGAATTTTGAATCCCAGGCGTAGAGATTCAAGATCTCAGATCTTAACGTTTTATTAGGATTTTATTTTAGTCGACGCGACGAGTATTATGATGTCTATCTATATATTCATTTTTTAAAAAATTTGTTCAGGAAAGCATAAAAAAGATAAATTATTTTTTGTATATTTAAATCAAACTGTGGTACCATGCCCACGGTCCGGCACTTTGGCCTGGCCCGGATTTTTGGCGATTTAAAATATTAGGGTTCTAAATATGGCCCGGGCATTTTGGATAAAAATGTCCATAAAATTGCTTTGAAAAAAAAACTTATTGTCTGGAAATAGCCTTAGGAAATGTTTTATTAAATTTATCATTAATGTTTCCTTCGAAGTTTTTAGGTTTTGGATATTTAAAGATAATTATTATTTGGTTTTTTTTTTAAACTTTTAAACAGTTTCCCCATGTTTGAGATTTTCATGGAAAAGTATTTTTTTAAGGATTTATCATAAACTGGAATACAGTTTTAAAAGAAAATAACCTTTTAACATCAATTTTTATTTTTATTTTTAGAAAAATAACTTGTTATTATTGAAAATTATTTATTTTTTTAAAAAAAAAGAAATATAATATATATATGATTTGTTGTAAAACATTTCCATATTTGTGGCAACTT